ACACATCTTTCCATCTGGTTATTATACCAAAGAAATGCAAAAAACTGATCGGAATTTTGTCAGCTTCAGTAACACCCATAATTCCGGTGCTGTGGCAACATTAAAGGTCAGAGTCGAAAATAAAAGCCATTTAATATTCATTAAATAAAATTAATTTGACGTTTTAGCAATCAACCCTATTCACGACAATCCCTCTCAACAATAAAGGTGTTGAAATATAACGTCCTGGTGTTTCATTGATTTGGTGCTTCATCAATGAAAGTTCTGTCAACACTTTGACCTGTCTTCGATGAAACACTGAAAGGACAAATGGGTGTTTTACTGCCTCAGTAAAGTTCTTTTTACAAATATTTCTTTAGATGATTGGTAAGCTGAAGTCCAAATATCCGACAGAAGTAGTGGGTATGCATCTTCAGGTGAATGCAGAATGGAAGTCACCACCTTCCCCACTGATAAAATGGCAAATGCCGTGCAAAACTACAATGGATTTTATTTAAGTCATTAAAATACCTTACAAATAACCATAGAACTTTTATATATTTTTTTCACACTTAAATAATTTGACACACCAAATTTAATTTTACACAATATACACCTTTTTTAAGCAATCATTATAAAGGTATCTGAATTATTCGGTACTTCAAAATCCCAAACCACCCGTTTTGACGATCACAATCTTAATCCGGGCTGTTACACTGTTGCTTACAATAATTCGGTAGTATGTTTATCAAATGCGCAGTTGCCTCCTTCTCACTTGATTGATTTCAAAGGAGAACCACTCATACATGCATAATTTATTATGTACAATGGATTCATCCCTTGAAAGCTTAACTTTTTTCCACATAAACGTAAAATAATCGGACCTTCTTCTGTGGTATGAAACGTTTGAGTATGTGCGTTTCTGTGCGAAAGTGTATGACCGTGTACGAGAAGGAATACAATTAATGCCGCTGTGATTGTTCCGTCGAAGGAAGATAATTTCGCAGCCAGTCAACAGGTGAGAGACTCACACAGCCTGCAACAGAGCTGCGCGGCGCCGAGTTAAAGACACGTCCGTGACCGCCCCGATGGCCTTGAAGGAAGCCGCCCTCGTGTTGATTAATGACCACGGGTTTGGTGAATAGGCTTGATGCGTGGGCCTGTACTCGACTACCATAGAATGAACCCAGTTCCAGGTGTGGATAAAGAAACTTTACTTGCTGAAATTGCAAAAAATTTTGTGGTTCTTGACTTAGATGAGGAAGCACCTCTTAGTAAAAGAAATTGTTAGTAACAAAATTACGTGTCGTGCTGAAAGCGATCTATCACTTTTAGGATTTATTATTCTATTCACTAATACCTACCCCTTGTATTTTTTTGAATGAAATAATTTGACAATATGTAAACAGCGCAAAACTTGCTCTGCTTAACACCACTCAGCTAGATGATTGAAATAATTCTCTTTTATTCCCACAAAAAGTAGGAATGAATTATTCAGGTAGCCAGCGCTAAAATACATAGTAGCTTCGTCAACGGCTACAAATACGAAGATTATCGTTCAATCTTCCCAAAGCAAGATTGATTGCAATCTAGTTTTTCCCGAAGTTTACGCTTTAAAGTTCCATGATGCAATGCTTTAGTAGTTTGTTTAACTCAGTGTTTGATTGTAAGAGAACTTTCGACACTGCATATTGCACTTTCGTCTACCTACACAGCCTTTGGACACACCGGTTGCAACTCAGTCCTTCTGCGTGTTAGCAACGTATTTTGAGCCATACTGCTGTGGCTTTATGCCGTCAGGAAAGACCCGGACGGCTACAACGATTCGTGGCATGCGGGTAGAATTTCCTATTTTAAAGAGCGCATTTGTTACAAGTAATTGCTTCTATAAACAATCGCATGAACTGCTGCAGCTGCTATTACTAATTTGGTCAAAATTGACAATATTTTGAATATCCTCAATAAAATTAGAAAAGTGAAGTGGAAATTGTGCGCTGTATATTTAATGCTTGTTTATGTTTGGGTCAAAGCGATCGCTGAAATAAAAAAGCAAAATCACAGTACAATATTACTGTAAGGGAAAATGAGATTTTCTGACGCTATTTTAAGTAATCACCTGTTTTTACTGTCGACTAACGCACTTGTTTTACTGTTCCAGTGTGCTTGATTTCATTAAAGTGGGTTCTTAAACGCCTCAAATGTGGTTTCCTTTAGTAATAGGAAGCGCGTGTTTCAATTTGATTGGTCCCTAACTAAGTGGTCGTGGTAATTTAACTACCGATCAAAATAATCTTTCAAGTGGCTGATTTTGGCAACTTGAAACTTTTTAAAGGGTTAGAACTCACTTCCTCAATATCTCCAACGATCATTTGGGATAGTGGCAGGTTTTCTACCGCATAAGTTAGAAGATCCTCCACCCCATAGAGATCATAGTGTCCCAACCGATAAGCGTAGTGATGAGGATAGAAATACCCTTGAGGCGGTCGTTCCACAGCCATCTGCTCCGTCCGCAGCGCACTCGCCTGCCGCGTGGCACTGAGAAGAACCAGATTAGTGAATTCGGTCGGTCGTGATTTTAGACCTTCCAGCAGAATTCCACCGAAATTCTGGTCCACCAATGCGAAAACTAGAGATGCTTGACATCCACTAAGATCTGACAGCAATTCTGACACGCTGTAGCGCTCGTTTGGGCTTATCTGAAGGTGTGAGTTTAATAGAAATTACCAACTAAATGGCTCCACTTTAATCAGTTAAGTGTTGTTCGAAAATTCTACTGAAATTATGAGCAAAGCGAAACAAATCGCGTTAGATTCTGCTAATCCATTTCCTAAGAAATGTAGTTTTAAGAACCTAAAAGATGTATTTCGAAATTGTGCTAACTTCCAAGAAAATCCGATGAATAAAGTGCTACAAGATACGATTTTGTTTCATTAAAGTATATTCGGCGCTAATGAACACCAAATCAATGCCATAGGGACCGATTTTAAGTTAATGATGGCAATGCACCTAGTAGGAAAGGAAGTAATCCCTGTGATATTACCTGCTTGACAATTTTTAGGAAATCAAGTGACGCTGTTAATCTGGACACATTTTCCTATCTACTTAACTGCAAATCAGTAGCAGGAAACTTACAAGTTTATCGCCTCCAACAAGCATGTCGCCATTCGGAAGGACAAAGTTGTTTAAGTAAAGGAATAAGGTTGAGACGCAACGCGGTGTGTGACAGAGTTTTTGCATTCTGGTACGGAAGGCTGCCTTGATTGATATATTTTTTGGCGTTGCTAAAATGTCCCAAATTTGAGAATTCTAAAGCACTTTAAATGAGAGCCATGTTCTGTAAATTGTCTCTCTTGCTTTTTGATAAAATGAATTTGAAAAACCTTTTCAAAGCATGAATCATAATTTTTTCTTTGTTTAAAACAATGGTATTTCAAAATTTTGAATTTTTTGACATCTAATCATTAATTTAATTGCGTTACTGTCAAGGCCCGGATTTGAATACATGAAAGTCTACTAATCAAATTGCTTCAAAAAAATAGCTATTCATGCTTAAATAGCTTAAGGTAGGCATAAATTCTCTAAAGTCCCATTTTGGTTATTTGCATCTGCCTTTGAATGTAAGAGTGTTAACAATCAGGTACGAAATGATGAAGTAGGGGGACATTTAGTTTCTTGGTAAACCTATTTTTTAACAATTCCAAATGCTTTTCTCAAGAAAGCAATGTAAATCTAATTCAGCATTGTGCAATAAATTTTACCCTTTTTCCAACTCTACTCATTTCCTTAAAATAAGGGACGAATTTTCGTTCAGTTTTTAATGCTTATTCACAAATTACTTATGCTTGTGCAGCGATAAAAATCCATCTACTGTCTATTTATTTTACCCTTTTGCCTGACAGGAATGTCAAAGAAATGATACGAAGTAGGTGGTCTCTCTTCGGGCGGAAATACGGAGAGGTAACTCGCGGTGAAGCCCAGGGAGCGCATTTTGTCTATCAGATGTCGTTTCTGTTGCCTCCTATTGATTGAGGTGTCTATGTGTTCCTTTTCTCCAAGTCTACTGGATAATAACAACGCGTAATCACACCGGTCGTACGGAGAGCATATGGCACCATCATCGGGTTTCGATGAATACTGGCTGAACTTTGAAGACACAGTTGTAAGACGAATGGGTCGTTGAGGTGGGAAGGAATTGCCGACTTCGCGTCTAGTCAAGGGATTGATCCACTGTGGATCACTGCTCCAAATGAGATTTTCGTGCAGATATGCTGGCACGAGTACACGTCTACGATGAAGCCCTATGCACGCAAGCAAATAAGGCGTTTGGATAAAATTAGAGTAAGAGAAGACATTATTCTGCTTGGAATTGCTTCAAAAGAACGCTGGGCTTTACAGGTGGTTTGCATGGGCTTGCAATGACATAACAACACCCTCACATAAGATTTTGAATCCCTCATACTCTTTATTTTTGTACTATTGAAAGGACTACGTAAATCACAAGAATTCGTTTTAGTATCTCAACGCACAATTTTATTCTTCAAAAGGTTCCAGACTTTTTTAAAGGGATTCTGAAGGTGCAACAGGATTATTTGTTTAGTACGTGCCGTGTTAATACTTTGAATTGCTCATCATTTTTTTGTGAAACGCCACAAATGCCATTGTTTGATTAACCGAAGTTCAGCCTAGACTGTTTGACCAACAGTCTATACGAAGGCTTAATTCTCTACGTCTATTAGCTTATAACCAGACATGCTCTCGGTGAGCACCAGTCCTGGTCGACCAATAAAGGAAGAAATTAAATCTACCAATAGGATTATTGGTGCAACTATAGATTGGCCAATCAGTTTTGTGGGCTGCAATGCTTAGATATTAATAGAGCATATGGTGACTTACGTCTGCGTCTCTGCCTATGTTGAGGGGCTGAAAGACAGGGCGCTGCATGTGGGACACACTGTAGAAGGTTCTTTGTTGAGTCGGTGGTGGTGACTCGCGGTAGGAACTGATATTCGCACACCCCACTAACCTGTGGGAATTTAGAATCCTCTTCAAGCTGACCAGCTGAGAGGAAAACATGGGGGCAACCTGACTTGACCTCTTGATGAATACACTCACTTCCTGAAAGTTAAGAAAAAGCGATAAATTAACTTTACTTTTGATGTTAATGGAAAGTGTGTATGCATACTAGCCTATACAGTTAGCAGTCAAGACACTCAGTGGTAATAACAAGACTGAAAATTAGGGGATGCGGTCTTCTAAACGCTTTGGCAAAATGAAGGTTCGGCTCTTACCGACTTCAAGGAGAATTAGACATCTCAGACAGGATAATTAGATTATTTCGCTAACTGTCCGATCTCCAACAGTTGGTACGTTCTTTTTCCGCTGTGTATATGTGTACGGGCGTGCGTGTGTAGGTGTCCATTTCGACTAAATTTTCCCCTCCATGTCGGCTAGTTGAGATCAGACGGCTAATGATTATCTTACAGCTTCAAGCATGCAAGCATAATCCATCCGCCACTGAACAAGGAAACAAATAAACTAAACCCTGAACCACTATTTTATTTTTTTGCAGATATCAGTAAAATTTAACAGATATCCGAAATGTCCATCACTCAAAGGGTCGTATCATGAATAAGGTAAAAGAAACTACATTTTTCACCATTTTTGACAATATCAGTCATGCTTGCCGATGTCAAAATGTCAATCATTTTGTCGACCGCGTTAACGAGTAGGTGACTCTCAGCTATTCCCCAATAAATTTAACAAAATGTAAACCTTTCTGGATGGTAATATTTAATGCTGTAGAAGTAGTGAATACCAAATCGTTTAGGGATGATTGCGAAAAAGAGAACTGGATCGAAAATTTCCCATGAATTTCTACAAGATATATATATATATTTTGCCTCACCAGCAAGGGGCTGTTTGGTTGGTAGTTTGTTCGGCAAACTGATGAATGTTTTCTTTGCAATATTATCGGAACATATGAAAGAGAGGCGCGCTTCCGTATTTCTGTTTAAAAAAGAAACGCTACCCTAATTGACTTGGCATTCGGCCACACAACAAGGGCTCTATGCCGCGCTCAACTTGAAAAGCCTGCCTTTTTCCACATTTCTTCTTTGTGTAGTACACGGTGTGGGTTGGTCCTTCAAAGGTACCTCCCTATCCTCCTTTTTCTGGCTTCACTTTGATGACAAAAGGGAGCCAAAACTCTAGTAAAGAGCTAGAGGAAGATTTCGCAGAATCGTTTTTTACATAAAAAGGGTCTAGATCACCGAGACAATTGACTCTGAGAAGTACTCTTTAAAAGGCAAAGTTTTTTCAATATTTATTAAAATCTAGCATTTCTGTATCTTCTTATTGCAATTAATGATAGCAATCGTTCAGTGTGGCTGATATACATAGATAAATTCGAAAGAAACACTTCACATTTAGTACTTAATTCTTAGTAAGAGGAGGCTAGAAGAATTAATATCATATACAGTTTGACTCTAAATCACTGGAGATGTTCATGCCCTACTTGCATTAAAAAAGTCACTTTTATCCAACGGGATTCTTAGGCGCAACATTTGAAGACGCGAATCACACGGAGGAATAGTAAGGCTTGTGGTGTATGACAGATGTCTCGTTTAGGTACCCATCGGTGCAAACGCTTTGACCTATGCTACTCTCAGGAACTTTAATTCACGGCTACAAATCGCAATCATTCAACAGACGAATTCCTCAGTCCCCATTACTCTGAATTAACATTCTGTTTATTTCGAAACATTTACCGCAATCGTTATTCTTTTTTTAGTAAAGGTAGAATAAATCAAAAAGTAGTAGTTATTCTAAAAAAAAAGGCTACTTCTGTGTCATTTGCTGTTTTAGAGGATACATGGACAAAGTGTTAACATGTTGCTTAAACCTCTGGTTAAGTAGTAATAAGGATACCGAGGACCATGTATGCCTACTACGACCATTAATTCGAATATCTCTAAGTTTTAAAAAGTTCTCGGAGGACTAAGAAAGGACAGTTTTTGTCGGAGCGGTAGTAATTGTTACAAAATCAAGCAAAAGATGTTCAAAAATTTTTGTGAGACAGTCAATCGTGGAAACTATATTAGTCACCTAGACAGTTGGATGATGATTCAGTGTTATATTTATCCCTCTACTTCCCATTTCTCAAATCAGCCGGTGAATGGGTGAAAACTTTAAGCTTCCAAATGACTTCACGTACTGTACATTAATCCTCGATGGTCCAAACACTGTCGTAACTGTTCCTCCCGGCTGCCAGCAAAAGCGACAATACGGAAAATGAAAAGAGGATGTCCAAAGGCGCGATCCGCGAGGGGATCAAGCACCAAAACTCCTGTTAAGTTCCCTCCTTGCGCTGGCAGCTTAACTTCCTCCCCCTCGTCTTCCTCTACCTCTGGATGGGTCATCACAAGGTACTGCAATCCCTTGTGTTCCAGCGTTGCTACGTAGGCGACAAATCTAGAGGCCGGTGAGACACGTATCTTGACGCAGTCCTGACGACTGATACTTGTCACGTGGGTGCAATCGAGTCTGCGAATGAGGGAGAGACCTGCAAGGATCCATTGTTTATTTTCATCGCGATGAAATGTCGTGGAGGTAAGAGGGATCACTGATCCAAACGTGGGGATCGTGCAGATGAGGAACAGAGTGAGTGCGAATGTGAGGCTTATCGGTGTCATGCTGTTGCTTTGCTGTTTGTCTTGATCTTGTGACCACCACCATCCGCCTTATATGTGGTGCTGAGGGTGCGTGCATATGTGTGCGTGTGTGTAATATGCGTAGGTGCTGCAAGCACGCAACCCAACAACCAATCAGGTTGTGGTCCTTTTGGAGTTAACCCCAAGCACTTTTGTCACACATTCTGGTTTGAGTAAATTTGCAGGAAGTCAATAAATAAATAGGACTACAAGAGTTGAGCTTTTAAAAACCAAAATAGAACTTATTTCCCTCGTTTGTCTATCCTAAATTCAGACAACTACTGAGAATTGGTTTAAATAATCTCACAGACATGTTATAAATCAGTGGTGGCATTTCGTCCATCAAGAGTAGAATGTGATGAACACAAAGAGGGGGAAGTGGATGCTCTGCTAAGTTGTAACGACTATAATCTAGATGTTAGTGTCTTCTAATGAGAGTAGACTTCAAAGGAAGGGTGCGACAGCAAGCTGTCGCGACTTAATAACAGACAATTAGGCCAATAAAATGACACACTTACACCACACAAACACACGTACACACACCCATGTGCAAACGTCCATCCGACCATCCCTCCTGCCTGTCTTCCTTTTGCCTTCTAGAATAGGGAGGAAATACCTCGGCGCAAAGATCAAAGTGATTTCCCACACAAGCTGGTGAAAATTTGAATTCCATTCTGCTTTTGCTGGGGTTTTGTTTTCTATTCCTTCTTTCCGACTGACTTCAAAGCATTCTGCCTTCTTTTTATCTGTATACGTCTACAATTTGTCACATTTTTGTTCTTAGGAGGAGTGGAGCCGTATGCTTGCTTCGAACACAGTTCATGTTTCCTCATATGGACAGTATTTAATGATACTTTGACATTTAAATAACTAATTAGAAATCAGTATCAAAAACTGACATCAGAATGGGAGGGACTTTTGAAATTTCGGTACGATATCATGTGGGAGGAATGAAATAGGCGGTGCTTCAAACTCTTTTTCAATCGCAACGCGTGAATCTTTTAATCATGCCTTGAAGAAAATAGCGTAAAATCTAAAGTGATTCGGCAAATGTCTATGACCTCATTACAAATCATCAGCGGTATCATTAAAGGGTCCATTTAACCAGAAGTTCTTTTTTACCATCTCTCCTTTAGTGGCGTACTTCAACTGCTAAATATAAGCAAAAATATGAAGTGTTTTGGACAAAGTCCTAATAACCTGGCCAAATGCATATTCGACGCAATTTTAACTTGTGACACAATGAAAAGACCTTTTCCGTATATTTCCTCACTATATTCACATGTAATTATCTATGTACTTCCTGTAAGTCAAATCCTGTGCGTAATATTCACAGTTTCGCCATTTTTGCTTCCAGTTGTATAACTGGTGCATTGGTGAAGGAATGATATCGATAGAACTGACTACCCGATTTGTGGCTCTTCATGCCTTATAACCACATGATTTGCTTACTACGGGCGGACTTAGTTTTAAAAAATTGGACATTTATGCATTACCATCTGTAAGTCTGTTTCAAGTGGCATGTGCTATAAAGCAATCATTAAAAATGCGTTCCCGGTTTATTGGAACAAGTGTTGCGAAATGCCCGTTTAATGTCTCCCTTCTTTATTTCGTTAGAGCACTTTCTGCTGCCTTTGATCTTTCAGTTATGTTGTCTCATAATGGTATCCATATTGTCCTATAGTATACTTAGGTCCATCCAGTGACCAATGCTATAAATATCTTGATGTGGCTCAAATTCTTCAGAACATGAGTAAAAATTCGGTTTAAGGAACAGATGAATTTGCAGTGATGAGGGAAGTAAATTACGAGGCTACATTGCCATTTAGCATAACTACTCAAATAACTTGAAGTGTAGTATTTAAATGCTCAAATTAGCGCAAGAGTTTGTCAAATTTACATTTTTTAGGATAAAATATAAAATCTGTAGTTCTGACCTAATTTACGTTGTATATCGAAATCTGAAAGAAAAGGAGGATGAAGCGATACGCTTTGTATCCATTTGATGGGTTTACACGTGTTCCAATATTTTTGCATAAAATTTTTGTAGCGATACACTGCTCCATAAATGACTGAAAAATGATCATTTAGGAGCAGACTGTACTTTTTTGTCGGATCTCCTTTATGTCGCACTTTATGCTAATTTAACCCCAAAGATTCGCCACAGATTGCTTCTACGCTTGGTTTTCTTTCCCAGACGCCTCTTGAAGGTTTCTTCAACATTCAGATAAGCGTGATTTTAACCCAACTTTAAATATATTTTGATTTGATTTGAATTTTTAGAGATTTAGGTTAACGTGTAAGTGTTTTCTAAGCGATATAAACCCTTGCTTCGTGTTCGACAACAATTTTGTAGCATTTATCAAACTTCGAAAAGGAAAAAATGTAAGATTGATTAAGATTAAAATTTATTTCAAGACTTGTCAGAAACGTTTAAAAATCATTTTTGCATACTAAAATGGTAGTTTATAGAAAAAGTCCTGACTTTACAATAATAATAAATAATAATAATATCGTGCAATATCTTGAACCTTTACACCATTTTGAGCCTAACTTATTCTCTAAACTCGAACTCTAAATCTTTAGAAAACTTCCAAAATACTTTGTAAAAGAGAAACAAAAATATTAAAATAGGTAACTACACTTAAGGATTAAACTCCTTAACAAAATATCTGATGTCAGAAAAGGTTGCGCTGATAATGGGATATCGCATTTGCAGTGGGGTGTAGTTTGTTTCACTAACCATGCTTAACCACTGGGACACTTTTTTATGCACGGACTGTACTTCCACCCTGTGAATTGACCCTCGGACAATAATAGCATCCCAGCGGGCCTTTTGTGCATTTTCAAGTAGCATATTCCACTATCACTATTTTGGCTTATCGCAACTTTTCGAAAACTCTGGAAGTTAAATGTGTTTTAAGGTTGTAATGCACATATAAAATATTTTTATAATGGGGCTATTGTATATCTAATAGTGTCTGTTCACCAAAAAGCATGGCCCTTGTTACAAATCTTTAAAGATAAAACCTTAAAAAGGCCACACAACAGAGCATAAGGACCACAAGCCAATTTGTTTCAAAAGTTATGCATTTGTCTGTTTAAAAGATAACGCTGTTTTCATCTTTGTATATCCTGTACTGTATTTAGCAGTAACAATTTATCAAGCAAATTATGCTTGATAATATGTGATAAATGTTCACAAACCCTGAAGTTTTGTAGAATGGCACCATTAAGGATACAAGCTGGAAGGCCTTCAATTTATAACTCTGAAACAGGGTAGAAAAAAAATTCATGGGTGTGCATCTAACGGTGCAAAAGTTTGGGCTTTTGGATTGTGGGAATCCTCGATAAAGTAAATGTTTTGAATTCCCACAGTGAATATTTATATTATTTGTACACTAAATGTGCGCGTTCCTTTCAGACTTAAATATTCTTCTAAAGTTTGAGAAATAGAAAGAATCAATGCTGGTTAATAAAGGGACTACTTTATTGTTCGGGAAAATTTTGTGATCGTATTGTTTTCTGGAGCTTTTACTCTATTTCTGTCTACTCATATTGTTATAAGCATCTCTCCAACTTGCTACAACAATAAGGTCAAGTCGAAGTCGTTTTATGATAACCGTTGCTTGTATAATATCACTGATTGTCCTTTTGGTGTCGGTATCACTTCCCTGGATTTAGAGGACTAATTAGGGGTAGATGGCTTGTATTGTTGTAAAGTGGAAATTCACAATCATAGTTTCAAGGCGGAGCAGAGTTTCTTCCTTTTCCTCGGGTATCAACAATGTCCTGTCAGCCATGGGACTGACTTTATCCTCCCTCTGCTCCCCCAATAAGGCGATACCGAACAAATCTGTGTAAGGTAAAAAAATAAGTTTTCTTGACAGGTTTAAATAAACTTGCCATTTTAATGTAAAATTTGCAGATTTCAGTCTTTCCGAAAATTCAAAATTCTCAATATTTCTTTCCATTAATTGAAAATTAGGAAATGACAAAAATCATGTTTTTTTTTAGTATTTTGGGTAAATAAATAGGCTTTTCTTAAGTCCTTGAAGTAATCAGGCTTGAGATATTAGACCCGCATTTTTAAATCTGATAGTTCAAAATGCTAGATTTATCGTGAGAAATCAGCTCTGTTGACAAAATTAATCGTTGAACAAAGTGCTTAGCCAAAATAAACCATTTGATCCAAGGTAAGTAGTATTGTTAAAACGCAGAAACTGGACTGCTTTTTAAAATCCAATTCAGCACTAACATCACTTCACGCCGTTCTTTTAATGGCACGTAAAAGAGTATTAATGCCTCCAAAAAGAAGATACTTCAAAAAATGTGCATTCCAGAGCCCCCCTAATGGGGGAGGTCACTGACCGGTTTTGCAACGTCGCAAGATTTTCACGTTCTGGGGCAGGCATCCACAGGCAAAACATGCAATTTTATTATTAGGTAATGGAGAAGGTGGCGCTGGTGAACGGATATGACCCCTCGTCTGATCCCCTCATCCAGCACTCAGTTCTCTCTCCCCCTCTACCTTCTCTCTTTGATGTGGCCACTGGCGGCACCTTTGATCTCGCGCCGGCGATTGGATGGCTACGAATTATGCAAAGGCTGTGGGCTATCCTGATCGCCATATTATGTTCACTCCCTCTCTCCCTCCTCCCTCTCTCGCATGCTTGCTGTCTTACAGGACTAGTTAGTAGGTCTTTAAATTAAATTCACACCCTAATGAACATGTAATTGCTTGCTCGCTTGTCTGGCAGACGACAATATTGAGGACAGACGAAGAGTTACGCCTTCTGAATGGTTTTGCCCCTACTTTATTTCCACGGTTCCCCCCCGTTAACTGTGGCACAGCCTCCTGTACTAAATCCAAAACTGATCTCTTGTAACAAGGAAAAATGCAAGAATATTGTTTAACAATACGGGTACAATAAAGCCGCATACAAAGGGCAGGCTGAATTTACATTTTTCTAAGTCAGAGC